TCCCTCAAACTCCTAGTGAGGGAGCTGCATGCTCGGGGAATCGAGGTGCACGTGGAGGTGGTGGTCAGCCACACCGCGGAGGGCAGTGATGAGAATCCCAAGCCCATCTCCTTCCGTGGCATTGACAACCGCGCCTACTACATCGTTGATGCCTATGGCAAGCAGGTTGGTGGGGGGGATTTTTCGGAGCACTCTCTAAATATCATCTCATGACCTGTGCTGTGGCACTGACGAGGTGACTTTTGAGTCGACTCAAAAGTCACTCTAAATATCATCTCATTTCATGACCTGTGCTGTGGCACTGACAACCGCGCACGAGATGAGAAGACCTTACATTTGCGGATGCCTATGGCAAGCAGGTTTATCAGTTGATAGAAAGCTTTGATCGTCACTGGATTTTTCTTGCTGACTCAACAAGAGGGCAGCAATGGCAAGAGTCCCCCGACCCGACCCGATTCCTTCCTGCCTTCCCCACCTCCTCCTCTTCCCCACAATGCCAACCCCATGCTCCCGTTGCCATCTTACCCCCACCACGACACAACTGACTTACACCGATTTGTGCCACTCTGTTCCCCTGCCCTGTTCCACCCATGTCCCCCCCCACCATGCTTCCCCCACCAGGTGGTGCCCGAGTATGGATCTCCCAACGCCTTCAACTGCAACAGCCCTGTGGCACTCAACTTGGTACATGCCTTGCTTGCTTGTTCCCTTGCTCGCTTGCTTGTTTGGTTGCTCGCTTGCTCGCTTGCTTGTTTGCTTGCTTGTTTGGTTGCTCGCTTGCTTGTTTGGTTGCTCGCTTGCTCGCTTGCTTGTTTGCTTGTCTGCGTGCATACAGTACGTGCGATGTTGTATGGTGTATACCACGTGGATGGCTTCATGGGGAATTTGTCCTTCACTTCCCTGATCCTTTCATGGAACCCCCTTGAGTCCTTCCTCCTTCCTCTCCCCCACCCTTCCTCCTATCAGATAGTCGATGCGCTGCATCACTGGGTGAAGGAGTACCACGTGGATGGTTTCTCCTTCATCAACTGTTCCCCTGCACCCCTGTGCCTCCGCCCTTTCCTCTCTCCTCCCCCTACTCCTTTCTCCCCCTCCTCCTTTCTCCCCTTCCTCCTTTCCCTTACCAGATAATAGACTCCTTACACCACTGGGTGGAGGAGTATCACGTGGACGGTTTCTCCTTCATCAACGCATCAGCGCTCACCACGGGCCCGCACGCACAGCCACTCTCCCGCCCGCCCCTCGTGGAGGCCCTGGCCTTCGACCCGCTGCTGGCTGCCGTGAAGCTCCTGGCTGACGCTGCCATGCCGCTGCTCTCCGCACAAAAGGTCAGTGGTCGCTGGGCCAGAAAGTCCCCCAAATTCTCCCCAGAAGGCGAGTGTCTGTTTCCGAATTCACTCTTTTCGTTCCCAGAGAGTCACTGTGCGCTGGGCCCCGGCAGCACAGCGCAGCGCAGGGCTATGTCTTTGGGTTGGCTTTTCAAACTGGTTTTTTGAGAATTCTCAAAATTCCGCCAGCAGCCCTCTTCACCTGTCCCTTTCTCTCAGTACCCGTCCTCTCATTCATTCATCCCCTCCTGAATCTCCCTTTGGTCCCGGGCAGGCTTTGGCATTCCTGCACCAAAAGCGGTGGCACATATGGAAACCACTTTAAAGAATTCTCAAAAGTGATTTCAATATAGCTGAATTCCTCTTTGGGTCCGGAGCAGGCCTTGGCATTCCTTGGGTCCCCTCCTGCACTAAAGAGGTGGCAGGAGATGAACAGCTCATGTCTCCTTTCAATCCTTGTCCTCCCCCCTCTGCCCTTCGCACCTATGTCCCCCTCCCAGCAGCTAGTGCAATGCTCATTCTTAGCCAACCAATCATCCCTTACCTTGATACCTCCCTCCCCTTGTTTTTCTGGGTAAACTCCTCTTTTGGCCCTCACTAGGCCTTTGCATTCCCGCACTGGAAGCGGTGGCAGGAGATGAACAGCGCCTTCTGCTTCGACATCCGCCGATTCGTTTCCGGGCAGCCTGGGCAGATCAGCGGGCTGGCAACCCGGCTGTGTGGCAGGTGCGTTTCACCGAGGGTCATTCGCAGGCAGGTGGGCACCAACGGTCATGACTCATGAGCCGCCTGTCACAGTTAAAATCTTGGCACCAACGGTCATGACTCATGAGCCGCCTGTCACAGTAAAAATCTTGGCACCAACGGTCATGACTCATGAGCCGCCTGTCACAGTTAAAATCTTGGCACCAACGGTCATGACTCATGAGCCGCCTGTCACAGTTAAAATCTTGGCACCAACGGTCATGACTCATAAGCCGCCTGTCACAGTTAAAATCTTGGCACCGAGGATCATGACTCATGAGCCGCCTGTCACAGTTAGAATCTTGGCACCAACGGTCATGACTCATGAGCCGCCTGTCACAGTTAAAATCTTGGCACCAACGGTCATGACTCATGAGCCGCCTGTCACAGTTAAAATCTTGGCACCAACGGTCATGACTCATGAGCCGCCTGTCACAGTTAAAATCTTGGCACCGAGGGTCATGACTCATGAGCCGCCTGTCACAGTTAAAATCTACGCACCAACGGTCATGACTCATGAGCCGCCTGTCACAGTCAAAATCTTGGCACCGAGGGTCATGACTCATGAGCCGCCTGTCACAGTTAAAATCTTGGCACCAACGGTCATGACTCATGAGCCGCCTGTCACAGTTAAAATCTTGGCACCGAGGGTCATGACTCATGAGCCGCCTCTCACAGTTAAAATCTTGGCACCAACGGTCATGACTCATGAGCCGCCTGTCACAGTTAAAATCTTGGCACCAACGGTCATGACTCATGAGCCGCCTGTCACTGTTAAATTCTTGGCACCAACGGTCATGACTCATGAGCCGCCTGTCACAGTTAAAATCTTGGCACCGAGGGTCATGACTCATGAGCCGCCTGTCACAGTTAAAATCTTGGCACCAACGGTCATGACTCATGAGCCGCCTGTCACAGTTAAAATCTTGGCACCGAGGGTCATGACTCATGAGCCGCCTGTCACAGTTAAAATCTTGGCACCAACGGTCATGACTCATGAGCCGCCTGTCACAGTTAAAATCTTGGCACCGAGGGTCATGACTCATGAGCCGCCTGTCACAGTTAAAAAAATCTTGGCACCGAGGGTCATGACTCATGAGCCGCCTGTCACAGTTAAAATCTTGGCACCGAGGGTCATGACTCATGAGCCGCCTGTCACAGTTAAAATCTTGGCACCGAGGGTCATGACTCATGAGCCGCCTGTCACAGTTAAAATCTTGGCACCGAGGGTCATGACTCATGAGCGGCCTGTCACAGTTAAAATCTTGGCACCAACGGTCATGACTCATGAGCCGCCTGTCACAGTTAAAATCTTGGCACCAACGGTCATGACTCATGAGCCGCCTGTCACAGTTAAAATCTTGGCACCAACGGTCATGACTCATGAGCCGCCTGTCACAGTTTAAATCTTGGCACCGAGGGTCATGACTCATGAGCCGCCTGTCACAGTTAAAATCTTGGCACCGAGGGTCATGACTCATGAGCCGCCTGTCACAGTTAAAATCTTGGCACCAACGGTCATGACTCATGAGCCGCCTGTCACAGTTAAAATCTTGGCACCAACGGTCATGACTCATGAGCCGCCTGTCACAGTTAAAATCTTGGCACCAACGGTCATGACTCATGAGCCGCCTGTCACAGTTAAAATCTTGGCACCGAGGGTCATGACTCATGAGCCGCCTGTCTTTTCTTTTGAGTCGACTCAAAAGTCACCTGTTCCCCCGGGAGAATCGGCGATGTTACATTATCTTCTTGTCTACTCAAAATGCAGGTTGGCGGTAATCCTCCCTCCCCACCCTGTCCATTGACAGGGGTTGCCAGTCGGTCCTTTGACTGTGTGTGTGCGTGCATGTGCCAGTCACTCTCAAATCAAAGACTTGCTGTTAACTGAAGCTTTTCCTCCTCCGCCTTTCCTCCTCTCCATTTCCTCCTCATATTGGCATTCCAAGGACTCACTCTCCTCCCTTTCCCCTTTCCCCTCTCTTGCCCTTCCTCCTCTCCCCTTCTGCCTTACCCCCTCCCCCCACTCCCCTATCCCCTCTCCCCTTCCCCTTCTTCCGTGCTCCCTCTCCCCTTCCACTTGAATTCTAACCCCTCTCTCCCCTTCCACTTGAATCCTAACCCCTCTCTCCCCTTCCACTTGAATTCTAACCCCTCTCTCCCCTTCCACTTGAATTCTAACCCCTCTCTCCCCTTCCACTTGAATCCTAACCCCTGTCTCCCCTTCCACTTGCATTCTAACCCCTCTCTCCCCTTCCACTTGAATTCTAACCCCTCTCTCCCCTTCCACTTGAATTCTAACCCCTCTCTCCCCTTCCACTTGAATTCTAACCCCTCTCTCCCCTTCCACTTGAATCCTAATCCCTCTCTCCCCTTACTTGAATTCTAACCCCTCTCTCCCCTTCCACTTGAATTCTAACCCCTCTCTCCCCTTCCACTTGAATTCTAACCCCTCTCTCCCCTTCCACTTGAATTCTAACCCCTCTCTCCCCTTCTACTTGAATTCTAACCCCTCTCTCCCCTTCCACTTGAATTCTAACCCCTCTCTCCCCTTCCACTTGAATTCTAACCCCTCTCTCCCCTTCCACTTGAATTCTAACCCCTCTCTCCCCTTCCACTTGAATTCTAACCCCTCTCTCCCCTTCCACTTGAATTCTAACCCCTCTCTCCCCTTCCACTTGAATTCTAACCCCTCTCTCCCCTTCCACGCGAATTCTAACCCCTCTCTCCCCTTCCACGCGAATTCTTCTCTCCTCCTCCTCTCCCTCCCAGTGCCGACCTCTTCTTCTCAGGACGACGCCCAGCCTTCACTTTCAACTACATCACAGCATTCAAGGGGCTCACTCCACCCTCCCCATTATCCCCCTTCTCCCTTCCCCTCTTTCCCCCTCTCCGCTTACCCTCTCTCCTTCCTCCGCTCCCTCCCAGTGGCGACCTCTTTTTCTCGGGGCGAGGCCCAGCGTTTGCCTTCAACTACATCACCGCGTTCCAGGGGCTCACACTGGCTGACCTCGTCAGCTACAGCATGGAGTCAGAGGCCAGGTGGGCTTGGGCTGGCTGCTGTGGAGGTTAAGAGACACATACACTGATGCACGCATGCACACGCACACCCTAGCATGTGATACTTTAGGAGCCTCAAAAGGCGTTCCAAGGGCTCACACTGGCTGACCTCGTCAGCTACAGCATGGAGTCTGAGGCCAGGTGGGGGTTGGCTGCTCTAACATACACGCACACGTGCGCATGTGCATGCGCGCAAACACACGCACACGCACACACACAGACACACGCACAGGCACACCTACTCGCACGTGCACTCTGTGTCCCAATGTGATGTCTGACGTTTTCCAGGCACCTCAAGACCCATTCCTTCGCTCCCTGCCCTGCTCTCTTGTTTCGTTCAGCTGGAATTGCGGCGTGGAGGGAGTGAGCGCGGATGAGGGGGTCATGAGGACACGTCTGAAGCAGGTGGACTGAGACAGAGCTGGCGTGGAGAGAGTGGGGGACAGAGGGTAGAGGGAGTGGATGTAAGGGGGAGAGTGTAAGGAGGAAAGGATGGTGGTGCGCAGGTTGGTCTGTGGGAGGGCCTAATGCTTGTCTGGCTTGGGCCTAAGACTTGTCTGTCTTCACGTGCACAGCCTTCTATATGCTGCTGCATGTGCTGCAAGTCGTCTCAACTCCCTTCTCTCGCACACCCATGTACCTCTCGACTATGCATCCTTCACTTCCCATGTGCATGAAGAAGTTTTCTGAGAAGAGGTCTACTCATGTGTCTAGAAGAGGTCTACTCATGTGTCTAGAAGACGTCTCAAAATACTTTTTTCATACTCTCGCCTATTCATCCTTCACTTCCCATGTGCCCACTCATCCTTTCATTTTCTCTCTTCCACTCTTCCTTCCCTTTTCTCTTGCCCACTCATCCTTCCCTTCCCTCTCATCCACTCGTCCCTCCCGTGCCTCCCCCCTCTCTCCCTGCTCGTCTTCCCCCGATTGTGTGAATTTATTAACCACCCTTAACTGCTCTCAAAGTCTCGCGCCCGTGCTTACCTCCACTCCTCCCTCCCTACCCTCTGCCTCACCGGGTGCGCAACCACCTGGTGCGCCTCAACCGTGTTCAACCGCCTTCAACCACTCCTGGTCTTCCCCTCCCCCTCCCCCTTCCCCCCTCCCCCTTTCCCCCTCCCCTCTCCCCTCCCTCCCCTCTCTCTGCCTCACCGGGTGCCCAACCACCTGGCGGTGCTCTTCCTCTCGCTGGGGGTGCTGAGAGGCTCCTCAACCGCGTTCAACGGCGTTCAACCGCCTTCACCCTCTCCTGGTCTTCCCCTCCCCCTCCCCCTTTCCCCCTCCCCCTTTCCCCCTCCCCTCCCCCTCCCCTCCCCCCCCCCTCAGGTGCGCAACCAACTGGCTGTGCTCTTCCTCTCGCTGGGCGTGATGGGAGGTGCCTAACCCACTTCGACCGACCTCACTGCCCTTACACACTCCTGATTCCCCCCTTCCTCCCCCTCTCCCACTCCCCCCTCACCCCCCCCAGGTGCGCAACCACCTGGCGGTGCTCTTCCTCTCGCTGGGCGTGCCGGTGCTGACAGCTGGCGACGAGTACGGCCACTCCAAGGCAGCACAGCTGGCAGCAGATTACTCGTCAGTGCCCTCCTCCTGTCCTTCCAGGCCTCCTCTATCCTTACGGCTTCTGCCCCCGCCTTGCCTGCCAACTGGACTGCCCCGGGCCTTGCCTGCTAACTGGACTGCCAACTTGCGTGCCCACCGGCCAGCCCCCCACCCTCTCCACTGGGACACAAGGCACTCGCACCACCTCACATTGTCTCCTTCCTAGCTCCTTCTCTCGTGCTTTCTCTCTTCCTTTCCCGCCTCCTTACCTCGACCCTACCTCTTTCGCTGCTTGCTGCCTGTCTGCCTGCCTGCACTCGGGGTTGGTAGTGCAGCTTTTCTCGCCTCTTCGCTTTCTCTTTTGCTCTTGCTGCCTGCCTTCCTCCCTCCCTTTTAGCGAGAGTTCCCCCTCCTGTGGATTGCTCTGCACACGGATTTGAAATCGCAGCTCTCTCGCTTCAGTTTTATCTCGTTCTCTCGCTTGCTTGCTGCCTGTCTGTCTGTTACACTACACTGTTCGTCCCCTCACAGCGAGTCCCCTTTTCTCTGGGCCGCTCTGCACACGGACCTGGGAGTGCAGCTCTCTCGCTTCATCGCCTCTCTTGCCAACTTCCGGCGCCGCCGCACACTGCTGCTGCAGGTGAGACGAGGAGAGGGGAGTGATAGAATTCAAGAATGGTTGAGTAATGAGCCAAGGAGGCTCTATAGTACAAGCATGCAAGGAAGAGAGGTTGGAAGAAGGTGCAACCCTATTGGCCACTAAGTTGGCCAATGGGTGAGTTGCCTTGTGGAGTAGGGAACCCCACAATGTTGCTAGCTTGTGATTGGTTGGCCTTAGGACCAAATGTTGGCAAGTGCCAACCAAGGACCAAGACCAAACCAAATCTTGACCCAACCACAAAGTGTGGTTGGAGTGTACACCCAACCCCCCAATGGCTTAAAGAGCTACACCTATTCTAGCCTATGTATGTTGTATATATAAGATACATTTACAACACAACCCCCCAACATGCATAAGGCTAGAAAAAATGTAATCAGGAGGCCGCCAAAACTGGTGGCGGGGTGAGCCCAAGGAGACGCAACAGGAAGGAGTGGGACGCTTGGGGAAGAGCTTTGGTGAAGATGTCGGCGAGGTTGGCTGCCGAGTCGATTTTGCCAAGACGAATGTGGCCGGCCTCAACGAGATCGCGAATGAAGAAGTAGCGAAGCTCAATATGTTTTGAGCGCCCATGATACACAGCGTCCTTGGTGAGGTGGATGGTGCTGGCGTTGTCACACCAGATGGTGGGACAGCGTTGGGGGGCTCCGAGCTTAAAGGAGGAAGGTGAGCCAGCGTGCTTCTTGCGCGGCCATGGTCGCAGCATAGAGCTCTGCTTCGCAGGAGGAGAGGGCGACGGCAGAGGAGCGTGTGGACCGCCAGCTGATGAGACCGCTGCCGAGGGAGAAGCCATAGCCCTGAGAGGACCGCCGATCCGGTCGAGAATCAGCCCAGGAAGAGTCGCTGTAGCCGTTGAGGTGTGGTGGGGAAGGGCCGCCAAGAGTGAGGACATAGTCCTTGGTGCCACGAATGTAGCGAAGGACACGCTTGGCGGCCTGCCAGTGCTCTTCCGTGTGCTTGCCAGCGCCAACGAACCGAGCGAGGACGCTGATGGGGTAGGCAAGATCGGGGCGAGTGGAAACCATGGCGTACATGAGAGAGCCGATGAGTTCCGGATAAGGATGGGAGGAGGGAGAGGGAGAGGAGGGTGGGGAGAGGTGGTGCCCAACCGAGAGGGGAGTGGGCTGGGGGTTGCCGCGCGCCATGTCAAACCGGTCCAAGACCTGCTGGAGGTAGTGACCCTGAGAGAGTGAGATGGTGCGGGCGGAGCGGTCGCGAGTGATGGTCATGCCGAGGTAGTTCTGCAGCTCTCCCAGGTCTTTGCACTTGAGACGGCTGCCCAGCTCCGCCTTGACAGTCTCGAGCTCGGCAAGGTCGGCGGTGAGGAGGATCATGTCGTCAACATAGACGAGGATGTAGAAGGGGGAGGGAGAGGTGCGGAGGAAGAGGCTGGCGTCAGAGCGGGAGGTGCGAAAGCCAAGCTCAGCAAGGGTGGCAGCAAGCTTGGCATGCCACTCCCTGGGTGCCTGACGGAGCCCGTACACGGGTCGGCGCAGCTGCCAGACGGAGTCGGCGGGGAAGGGGAGGTGGAAGCCGTCTGGGCGCTCCATGTAAATGAGTTCACGTAGTACGCCTTGCAGGAAGGCGTTGGAGACATCCATCGAGTGGATCTCCATGTTGAGGCGAGCGGCGAGGTCGAGTACAGCGCGAACGGTAGCAGGTTTGGCGGTGGGGGAGAAGGTGTCGAAGAAGTCAAAACCATACCGCTGCGTGAAGCCCTTGGCGCAATACCGGGCCTTGTAGACGGGCGGTTCTCCTGGTAGCTGTTTGACGCGAAACACCCACTTCCCCTTTACCACGTTCGTAGAGGAGGGAGGGCGAGGGACATCAACGAAGGAGGAGTTGGCGATAAATGCCTCGAGCTCCTTGATGATGGCGGCAAGCCAGAGCGGGGCGTCGGGGCAAGCCATGGCCTCCTCGTACGTGGTTGGGACGAAGATGGAGGGAGCAGAGGAAAAGGCGAAGACTGGTGTTCCAGACAGGTCAAAGGTGATGGGGAGGAGGGAGGGGTCGGAAAGGTGGAGGTCAAGGAACTCCTCATGGGAGTCCTCAGAGAGGGAGGTGTGGAAGGCGCGGATAACCGCTGGGGCCGCTGCTCGTGCCGCTGCTGGTGCCGCTGCTGGTGCCGCTGCTGGTGCCGCTGCTGGTGCTGCTGTGGAGGCCGCTGCTGCCGCTGCACTTGCCGCTGCTGGTGCCGCTGCTGCTGCTGCACCTGCCGCTGCTGGTGCCGCTGCAATGGCTGCTGCTGGAGGTGCTGCTACCGAGGATGGGGAGGTGGTCGAGGAGGCTGGTGCAGGAGAGGCGTGGTGTAAGACAGCCTGGAAGAAGTGGTGAAGGAGGGGAGAAAGAGGGGGAAGGGAAGAGGTAGAGAGGGTAACAGGGGGCGGTGCACCAAGGATACTGTCACATGACCTGGTGTGAGGATACCGGGTGAGTATGGTGCGGGGAGTGGGGGAGGGAGGTGGTTGGGAGGGAGGGGGAGGGGCACCGGGGGAGGAGTGGGCGGGGGAGACAGGGGAAGATAGAGGGTCCGGGTCAAAGATGTCACCAGACGAGGGAGGGGCACCGTGGGACTGGGAGGGCGGAGGGGGAGGGGGTGGGAGGATGGGGGGAGGAGGGAGGAGAGGGGGAGGTGTGGTGTCAGTCCAGACAAGGGGACGGGTCAGAGGTGGGAGTGGGTCAGTGGACGGGGGAGAGGAATAGTACGGGGTGGACTCGTCAAAGACGACATCTCTGCTGCGAATTAGTCGACCGGAAGGGGGGTGGAGGAAAAGGTAGTCGGGGGAGGAGGGGTTATGACCAAGGAAGACGCAAGGAAGGGTACGAGGGGCAAGCTTTCCAAGGGAGCGGGATCGGTCAGACGGGTGAATGAGGACATAGGCCTTTGAGCCCCAGACTCGAAGAGGGGAGACATCGGGTTTGTCCTTTGTCCATAGCTCAGTGGGGGTGGTGGAGGGGAGGAGGGGGTGAGGGTAGAGGTTAGTAAGGAGGGCGGCATGAAGGAGGGCGTAGCCCCACAGAGAAGGGGGGCATGAGGCGTGGACAAGAAGACACCGAGCCGTTTTGGTGATCTCCCGAACACGGCTCTCAGCGACACCGTTCTGCTGTGGGGAGTGAGGGAGGGTGTGAGTCTGGAGAATGCCGCGGGACTGGCAGTAGGAGGAAATTTGGGTATTAAGGAACTCACCACCACCATCAGAGTGGAGGCGACGAACAGGGCGGCCAAAGTGGGTGTTGGCTTGCTCGAGCCAAGCAATGATCGCGGTCGGGGCATCCGCCTTCGTCCGAAGGAGAGAGACGGACGAGTACCGACTGTGGTCATCGACGAGCACGAGGAGGTAGCGATGGCCTTGGCGAGTGGGGGAAGGGTTAGGGCCCCAGAGGTCCATGTGAACAAGATCAAGTGGCTGAGCAGCAGCGGAGGGGGAGCTCCGGTGCGGCTGCTGCTTGAGCTTGCTCTGAACGCAGACGACGCAAGGGGGGGCAGGGGACTTTGGGAGGGGAGGGAGGGAAGAGGGGAGACCGTGGAGGAGACCGGAGGATACAGAGGAGCGCAGAGTGGCGAAGTTGGGGTGACCTAGCCTGTGATGGAGGAGGATGGCAGGGTGGGAGAGGGAGCGACATGAGCAGTCAGAGTCAGGGGGGCGGGGGGTGACGGGTGGGTTAGTGGAGGGGAGGGGAGGGGGGGGGGGGAAAGAGGGGGGGGAGGCAACTTGGAAGGTGAGGGGGCGAGGAACTCGAAGGGTGTATAGACGGGTGCGGGGACAGTAAGGAATACGGGCGAGGAAACGACCTGTGGAGGTGTGGTAGAGATCACAATGGTTAGCACCACCTGGGGTGAGAGTGGTGATCATGGATTGTTGGAGGGACCTTTGGGAGAGGAGGTTGGTGCGAAGGGAGGGAATGTGAAGACCTGTGACAGTACCTGAGGGAAAGAGAGGACAGGGAAGGGTGGAGGTGTTGTGACAGGGGATGGAAAAGCTGCTATCAGCGCCAAGGAGGGACGTGGATGTGGGAAGAGGATTGAGTTTGCCGGCATCTCGAAAGACATTATCAGTGGCTCCACTGTCCAAGACGAACTCAAGGGTGGAGGAGGGTGAGGCGGAATACTGAATTGAGGTTTCATTAATAGCAGGGGCATACATAGGAGATGCAACAGAAGGAGGCTGACTAAGGAGACCAACAAAGCCAGAGGAGGGAAAGGGGGTCACACTGCCACCTGTGGACGGCGCAGGGGATGGACCGGAGAGGTGGGCCGCAGAGGCGGCATTTCCGGCGGTCCAGCTGGGAAACGGCTGCTGCTGGGGGACAGGAGGAGGAGGGAGGAGAGGAAGTTGGGGCTGGAGGTCGAGCTGCTGCTGGAGCTGCTGAAGCTGCTGCTGGAGCTGCTGCCCATACTGCTGCGGTCCCTGCTGCTGGACACTCTGCTGCTGCTGCTGCTGCTGCTGCTGCTGCTGCTGCTGCTGCTGAGAGGGGAGAGCAAAGGCCTGGTGGGCCTGGGAGGAGGAGGAGGGGGCGTAGAGGGGAGAGGTGCGAACATCGAGGGGAGTGGGGCGGGGATTAAGGGCGGACCAGCGAGGAGGGGTGCCAGAGTTCCCACGAGCGAACCACTCATCGCTGAGTGCCTTGAAGCACGTGTCAGTTGCATGAGTGGTTTGGTTGCAGCGTTGGCCTCGGGTGGGGCCATAGAGGGGAAGATACTGACAGGGTGGGAAGGCCGCTGCTGCCCCACGACCCGCACCACCACGACCGCCAGAGCCGCCTCGACCACCACCACGCCCACCTCCACGCCCTCCCCCACGTCCGCCCTTGCCGCTGCGCTGCTGTGCTACCGCGGCAGTGGAGGAGGAGTGGCGAAGGATTTCAGCCTCAGTGGTGATAATCCACTGGGCAACTTGAGCGGGAGTGTCATGCTTGGAGAGGAGTTGCATGTATGCGAGCTTGTGGGCATCGAAGGCGGGAGTGAGGCCTTCGAGGAGGTGGCAGCAGATGACAGTGTCAGGGTAGGTAACGCCAAGTGCTGCGAGGCGGCGAGCAAGGTCAAGGACGCGGCGAGTAAAGGCGGCTGCGCCGGCAGTGGAATCCATGGTGATGGATCCAAATTCCTTGATGAGGGCATAGAGGGTGGCGATGTCCTGCCGGTCAAAGAGGTCGACAAGCAGTTGCCACAGGTGGGAGGAGGAGGTAGGTGAAAGCTCTCGTTTGAGGGAGGAGGGGATAGTGGCGAGGAGGATGGCGAGAGCTCGACGGTCAGCAATGCGCCACGCAGCGATGTCGGTGGTGTAGCTGGCGAGACGTGTAGTGTACGTGGCGAGTCGAGCTTGGTAATCGCGGTGGCGGGCAGCAGCCTCGTCGTAGGCGCGCTTGTCGTCCTCATAGCGCAGTTGACGGCGAAGGTGGTCGTTGAGTGCGGTGCGGTAGGTACGGATGGCAGTTTCCATGCTCTGAGGATTGTTGACATCCGGCGCGAAGGTGGGAGGATCACCAGGAGGCTCGGGCTCAGGTCCGGGCTCGTCAGGAGGAGGTCCGGTGGGGGCGGAAGGGGCGATGGGCTGGAGTCCGCCTTCCTCCTGGAACACGACGGAACGGAGGGTATATCCGCTGACGACAACCGAGGAGAGCAACACCTCGACGGAGTGGGCATAAGAGTGCCAGTTGGCGGCCGAGTTGTCGCCCAACAACTCGAGAGAGTCAATGGTCGCCAGGTCGACCGATGAGTCTGCGGACGCCATGATGGCGAAGTCGGGAAGGTGCTGCTGCTAGTGCTGTTGAAGGTGCCGCTGCTGGTGCTGTTGAAGGTGCCGTTGCTGGTGCCGTTGAAGGTGCCGCTGCTGGTGCCGTTGAAGGTGCCGCTGCTGGTGCCGTTGAAGGTGCCGCTGCTGGTGCCGTTGAAGGTGCCGCTGCTGGTGCCGTTGAAGGTGCCGCTGCTGGTGCCGTTGACAGGGTGGCGCTGCTGGTTTAGGGTTAAAGGTCGCTGCTAGGTGCTGTTGCTGGTGCGATTAAGGGTGAAGTAGGGGGGGGGAGGAGGTAGGGGAGAGGGAGGATGGCGCGGAAGTGTGGGGCAGGGCGCGGATGAAAGGGGGGAGGTTGCGCAGGTCAGTCGCGGCGGCGCGTCGGCCGCCCGTGAGAGCGCGAGGGTCGGCCGCGGCTCTGCGTCGGCCGTCCGCGTCAGTGCGAGGGTCGGCCACGGCTCTGCGTCGGCCGTCCGCGTCAGCGCGAGGGTCGGCCGCGGCTCCGCGTCGGTCGTCCGCGTCGGCGCGGAGGTCGTCGGCGATCGCGCGGCGGCCGTTCGGGATGGCGCACAGGTCGGCCGCGACTCCGCGCTGGCCGTCCGCGTCGACGCGCGGGGTGCTCGTGGCCGCGGGCTGGCCGTCCGCGACGGTTGGCTGGCCGTCCGCGACGGCTTGCGGGTCGTCCGCGACGGCTTGCTGGCCGTCCGCGACGGCTTTCTGGCCGTCCGCGACGGCTTTCTGGCCGTCCGCGACGGCTTGCTGGCCGTCCGCGACGGTGTGCTGGCCGTCCGCGACGGAAGGCGTGAGGGAGGGGTGGCGGCGGGAGGGAGGATTGAGGCCGCGGGAGAGCGGTCGGAGGCCGCGAGAGGGAGGATTAAGGCCGCGGGAGGGAGGATTGTGGCCGCGGGAGGGAGGATTGAGACCGCGGAGGAGTAGATCTGAGCCGCGGAAAGCTAGATCTGAGGTACGGGAGGGAGGATTGAGGCCGCGGAGGAGTAGATCTGAGCCGCGGAAAGCTAGATCTGAGGTACGGGAGGGAGGATTGAGGCCGCGGGAGGCTAGATCTAAGACGCGGAGAGGAAATTACGGCCTAAGGATCGAGGGAGGTGGCGTGAGCCATTTGGCTCTGAATACCATGATAGAATTCAAGAATGGTTGAGTAATGAGCCAAGGAGGCTCTATAGTACAAGCATGCAAGGAAGAGAGGTTGGAAGAAGGTGCAACCCTATTGGCCACTAAGTTGGCCAATGGGTGAGTTGCCTTGTGGAGTAGGGAACCCCACAATGTTGCTAGCTTGTGATTGGTTGGCCTTAGGACCAAATGTTGGCAAGTGCCAACCAAGGACCAAGACCAAACCAAATCTTGACCCAACCACAAAGTGTGGTTGGAGTGTACACCCAACCCCCCAATGGCTTAAAGAGCTACACCTATTCTAGCCTATGTATGTTGTATATATAAGATACATTTACAACAGGGAGGAGAGGAGAGGGGTGGAAGGTATTTGAAGCACGCCAATCTCGTGAGGTAAGAGAGGAGGAGAGGGAGGGAAGGCGTCATCAGGCCTCTCTCTCGCCAACTTCCGGCGCCGCCGCACGCTGCTGCTGCAGGTGAGGTGGGGAGAGGATAAGAAACAGAGGTGAGTGAAGCGGGCAAATGTTGGAAAGTGAGGGGAGGGGAGGGGGTGGGTCAGGCCTCTCTCTCGCCAACTTCCGGCGCCGCCGCACGCTGCTGCTGCAGGTGAGAGGGGGAGAGGGGAAGGGGAGGAGAGGGGAGGAGAGAGGAGAGGGGAGGAGAGGGAAGGAGAGGGGAGGAGAGGGGAGGAGAGGGGAGGAGAGAGGAGAGGGGAGGAGAGGGAAGGAGAGGGGAGGAGAGGGGGTTGACTGAAGCGTGCTGCATGCTGCTGCTGCTGCTGCTGCTGCTGCTGCTGCTGCTGCTGCTGCTGCTGCTGCTGCTGCTGCAGATGAGAGTGTGGAGAAGGGATGGGTGAGGGGTCTATCTAGATCTTTTGAGACGTCTCAAAAGGCGTGGAGAAGGGATGGGAGAGGGGTGATCTAGAGCTTTTGAGATGTCTCAAAAGGCGTGGAGAAGGGATGGGAGAGGGGTGATCTAGATCAGCTGCTTGATGCTGTGTGTGGTAGAGACTAGAGTGTACAGTACACTGTACACCCAAACCCTGGGGTACTTGTACTGATCTAGCCTGAGCACGCTAAAGTGAAACAAATAACATCCTCTGCACAGATTATCTCATCCTTCTTTCCATCTCCCCATCCCCATCCCCATCCCCATCCCCATCCCCATCCCCATCCCCATCCCCATCCCCATCCCCATCCCCATGCCCATGGCAGCGCAAGGACTTCTATTTCGGGGAGGACATTGTGTGGCACGGCGCGTTCCCCAACCAGCCTGAATGGGACAACCCCAACTGGTACGCTCCAAACCTTGCTGGCGATATGGTTTGAAACTTGCCGTGCCTCCGGCGTACACAGTCACATTCTTACTTCTCACACTAGCCCCTTGTATAAAGAAGGGTTTTGAGACATCTCAAAACCCTCCGGGGTACACAGTCAGATTCTTTCTCGGGGGTACACAGTCCGGGCTCCTTCGACTTCTACAATTTCCATCTTCTCTCCCTTACTGCTTGCTTGGCACCCTTTTTCCTCCTTTTCAATCGTCCCTTTCTTTCATTACCTGCTCTCACCGACAGCACCAGCAGCAGTACCTGCGGCACACCTGAACAACCTTTGCTCATCCTCCCTTTACCGTCTCCTCGGACCATTCGTCCCCCCAACCCCTCCAGCTGCTTCCTAGCCTGCACCAATCATCTTAGGGGGAAATTTTGTGCTGCCTCATGAACCACACACCCATGCGTCCTTCTCCTAATCCTCTACCCTTGTTCCCACCACCCCTCCAGCTGCTTCCTAGCCTGCACCGTTCACAGTGCCGGCATTGAAACATCAGCCAAGGAGGCAGCAGAGGAGGCAGGAGTGCCGGTTACCACAGCGGCCCCAGCTGTAACACCCAGCATGCCGGTTGGCGATCTCTACTTCGCCTTTAACGCCCATGGGAATGAGATGATTGTGGAGCTGCCTGTGCCGCCTGTTGGCATGATGTGGTAAGACTTGTGAGGCAAGACTTGTGAGGCACGACTTGTGAGGCACGACTTGTGAGGCACGACTTGTGAGGCACGACTTGTGAGGCTCGACTTGTGAGGCACGACTTGTGAGGCACGACTTGTGAGGCACGGCTTGTGAGGCACGACTTGTGAGGCACGTCTTGTGAGGCACGTCTTGTGAGGCACGACTTGTGAGGCACGACTTGTGAGGCACGTCTTGTGAGGCACGTCTTGTGAGGCACGACTTGTGAGGCACGTCTTGTGAGGCACGTCTTGTGAGGCACGTCTTGTGAGGCACGTCTTGTGAGGCACGTCTTGTGAGGCACGTCTTGTGAGGCACGACTTGTGAGGCACGACTTGTGAGGCACGACTTGTGAGGCACGTCTTGTGAGGCACGTCTTGTGAGGCACGACTTGTGAGGCACGACTTGTGAGGCACGAGGCATGGGCCCAATGACAGAAGTCATCACCCAGCCCGACCATCAACCATAACCCGTGGCATATGAATCAATTTTTCAGACCCATGCTTTGTGAGCTGCGGCTTTTGACCTGTAACTCACATCACCCATTGCTCGCTACTGATTTCAACATATGTGGGTGTCTGCATATGGCACGTGGGCATGCATTGTATGTGCATGTAACATATGTACATGTCGCACATGGCATGAGTATGTGACATGGCATGTGCTTGTGTGGGTGGGGCACGTGGCGTGTTTTGCATGGAATGTGGTGCATGTCACATGCTGGTTCACCACATGTTGTGCATGGCATGTGGTGCATGGCATGTGGTGCATGGCATGTGGTGCATGAGATGTGGTGCACGGCAGGCACCTTGTTCTAGACACAGCTAAGGACTATCCCGCTGACATCACAGAGCTACCAGCCCAAGGCATGCCTCCATCCATCGCTGGCAGGTATGTGACTATACTGAGTAACCAGTGCAACATGGAGTGCAAGTAAAAAGGAGCACAGGAGTAAATTTACATGGGCATGTTTGAATGTTGGTGCTTGAACTTCACATCGCATACTGATGCTATACTTGTGCATGTTTGGGTCCTTGTGATCTTGTTTGCATGTTTTACAGAGTATCGTCGCCATACTACATGGATGCGTTTTCAGTGATAGCCTTGGAAGCTCGTGGCCCGCCTTCCTTCGCACCTCGTATGTGACAGTTCTGAGAACATCCATGTGATTGTGCCGGTACTGCCCATTTATATTCCAGATATAGAACACGTTTTGTGATTTGAAACTATGATGAAAATGTTAGTATTGTCAGGTACATTTATATCGAAATAGATTAGTACATGGATTTGATTCTGATTTCAGTCAGATGATGTCCAAGAACTGACCTGCATCTGATTTGTTTATAGAACTCGTTGTAAGGGAACCACTACGGTACTAGCGAAGAACTTCTGAGGGGGACGCCTGTTGCAAATCGTGCCATGAGCCTGACACCTTTGTCAGCCCTTTTTACCTCGACCTTCAAGGCTGTGACAGGCCGTTCCGTCCGATTCCCTTCCCTTCCCACCCCGCGTGACTCGCCCCCTCCTGGTTTGTTTTCTTGGGATTGCCGCCAGCCACCACCAGCCACCACCAGCCGCCATCATCCATGCATCCCGTAACCCGAATCACCGCATTTAGCCGATCCCAACCATATCAACCAATTCTCAAGGCGAAGGCAAAACCGTGCCAGCCAGACTAGACTCGAGGAAGAAAACTGAGAGGGTTAGCGTGAGTAGGGTAAGGCAGGTCCTTGTCTTGTAAATTGGCTGATATTTTGCAGCTAACAGACGCATTCTTTCCAGAACAATTAGCAGTGCATGACGCTGCATCGTCCCTATATTCCGCAATCCTCATCTCCAGCTTTACCTGGTTCTAGGCCAGTGGCGTGTCGCTCGTAGTGCAAGTCATCTATTTCTATATGCTCCACCTTCTCTTTGATCTGTATTTCACTGAAGCATTGCTGCTGCAGTGCTTTCTAATTTCCATCTGTTTTAAAATCTCCTCAGAGGCAGTCAGTCAGGTGCTCACCGTGACATAATCGAATTCCCTCTTTACAAAGACGATCGTCACGGGATCGGTTTTCGGAGCGGGCCAGCAACCAAAAACTTTGTTATTTCCGCGTGTTTTATCTGCTCTAGATTCTCCTGACGTGATCAGATTCAGCAGCTGAACCTTGCCAATTCCTTCCCCTTCAGTTCGCATGGTAGCCTCCAGCTCGTCCGTGTTCCTCCGAACCGTCCCATTACCGTTCGCTACTAGCTCATCAACGTCTTCGCGGTAGAATTTAAAGAACTCTTTCAAGAATGTTCTGAGCTGTTCCAGAATTCTCCTTTCACTAGCACATCAGCCTCGCTTTCCACGGGATCCAATTGTAGTTCTCACGGTTCACGGAATCATCTCACGCTTTTTCCGTACTCCGAACCCCATCAGCATCTACTTTTGAGCCGTTGTCAAGCCGCTCACAAGCCTCCCGTCAACCCCCTAGAAATAATTCTTAGTCGAACTCTCGTTTAGTCATCGTCCGGCGGCGGTGGTACTCCTGCCCGTTGTGGACACGAGTCCGTGGATGCTATACAGCGATCCCAAGCAACATCTACCTCTCATTCTATCTTCTTCTAGCTCCTATTTGATCCTCGCCCTCGCTCTACTCTTACGTACTCCATCCTTCGGCGGCCACCATGCTGCTAGTATTCGTGGTGGACACGAGTCCGTCCATGGGCCAGCGGATCGCCAACGGGCTCACGCTGCTAGACTGCGCTAAGAGCAGCGTCGAACACTTTCATAAGGTAGGTAGGACGCCAAGGCAGGGAGGACGGTTCCACAGGGTATATTGAACACTTTCACAAGGTAGGCAAGACGCGTCCACAAAGTATGTAGGACGGTTCCACAGGGTAGCTTAAAACACCTTCACAAGGTAGGTCGAACAAACGTCCTTTCGTCAGGCTCCGTCCAAGTGTATTTCGGCGCGTATTTGAGTGTACACGTATCCCTGCCCTTGCACAACGTTCAAAGATTCTCATTTCTTGTCACGGCCGATCTCCTTTGCCGCCTTATTTTGCATTGCAGGTCCGGCAGCGAGACATCTCTTCCAGGGCAGATAGGTAAATCCCCCTTGCCGTTTACCTGATTTACCACTTTTGATAACCTTTTGTTTGTTAGCACTTCAATTTATTGTACATAACTGTTTAAAATGCTATTCTTTCACATTCCGTCCAGATACGTACTGGTGACATGCGATGAAGGTGCATCAGCAATCAAGGTGATATAAAATGCTGCTACCCTTCTTCCTTCCCCGCTACCCCTTTCCTCTCACTCAGTTCATCTGCTCTCCGTCCCCTTCTCCCTCGTTCCGAATCTCTCTAACGGATGCATATGCAGAGTGCATAAATGTGCTGAACGTTACACAACCGGCGTTTACCATAATCTGCACACTTCACTCCTCCCCATGGCAAATCCTCTTTGCTGTCTCTGTTGCATTCAAGTCTTTGCTGAAGAAGAAAACACTGAGAAATTACACAATTTTACAAAAAGAACACAGCTTGGCATCCGAAACTTTTTCTCTGTTGTGCTCTCTGTCACTGCACGTGGTCGGTTTCTTTCTCTTTACCATCCCTATGCATCCCTACCTCCTTGTCGTCTCTAACCCCTTCCTCAGGTGGTGGACCGTTTCCCCTTCACCAGTTTCTCACATGCCCTCACTATCCATACCTTCTTGCACACCCGTCTGCTCTTTGATTCCCTAGGTGGTGAACCGCTTCCCCTTCACCAATTTCCTGCGGGTCCTCAAAGCCGTCAAGGTGGGGGGCCTCTCGTCTGTCGGCCAATCGCTGCGCGCCACGTTTGACCTGCTGCACACTCAGCGCCTCGCAGCAGACGTCGATCGATGGGGTGAGTGTGTGTGGTTTGTCTCTTATGCGATGGTGGCCTTTTTACTGGAGTCGAATAAATTTAGAATCGACTAAATACCTTCAAACATTACTCTCAAGACGCAGGTGGTGTAAGTGTGGTATGCTGATATATCCCCTTATGCACCCACGCGCCACCCATGCGCCACCTGTTGAAGATCAAAGTGGATTCTGCCTCCTCTTACTCCAAATCTTCCCTCTCTTGCCTCTGCCCCTGGTTCCTCCTCAGGCATGGGTCGCAATCTCGCCGCTGTGGATCCAACGGTTGTCATGCTTCTCACTGATGGCACACACTTCACATCGGTATGTCCGAATCCCCAGGGCAGTGGTAGCTAGCCTCACAGCCGTGCCGGTGGGAGCAGCGCGTGCTCGCCACCATCCTTCGCATCCCCACTGCCAAGCCCGAACACCTCGAGATATTCAGCTCTTCCCTCCCCTCTCCACCGACCTTCTTTCCCCATTCCCCCGCACCCGCCCCGCCCCCACCCCGCCCCCCTGGTTTCTGTTACCCGTTCTCTCAATTCGTTCTCTCAATTCTACCTACTCCGCTTCACGGTCCCTTCTCATCAACCCCCACTTCCGCCTCCCACACCCCCCTGTGTGCAGCGGTTTGGAGGAGTGTCAACGAGCCTGGCTCTGTTACCAAACGCCTCGCCCCCTCCACTAGGCAGCGAACTGGCGTCGCAGCCGTTCCGGTGGGAGCAGCGCGTGCTCGCCACCATCCTCCGCATACCCAGTGCCAAGCCCGACCACCTCGACAGGATCGGCCCTCTGCCTGCTGCTGGGCCCATCTCAGAGTCGCCAGCTGCTGTGGCTGTGGACACGAGTGTGTCAGCCCTGTGTGAAGCCACCGGGTGCGTGGATGAGAGGGAGTTTGTTTGAATGGTGTCTATGTGGCTTGTGTGCGTGTGAAGAGGAGTGAGTCGCCAGCTGCTGTGGCTGTGGTCACGAGCGTGTCAGCCTTGTGTGAAGCCACTGGGTGAGACTGTGGGAACATGCATACATCCATTATGTCATCACTCATGTGTCATTAAATAATGCTGTTAAATCAAGGTAAAAATATTATTGCTTCCCACCCTTCTACAAGCTGGTGTATTCATTCATAGCCCATTTTCCAGAACGTGCCATCTGTCTGAATGGAGGAGCGTGTTATTCCTCTTTCACTGACTCTCTCCTCCCACACTTGAATTCAGTTCCCCTTTTCCATTCTGTTCCCCACTTGCATTGCTTGTGCCATCCCGTTGCTTGTAACCTGTGCAGTGGCAAGTGCAGTGTGGTAACCAGCTGGAAGATGCTCTTCCAGCACCTAGATATTGTCGCCTCCCGCCTCTCGCCAGCTGTCATCGTCTCATTCGACCACGTCCCACTGCCGGGCGGCGCACCCATGCCGCCCCAAGTCCACGCTGCATGCCAACGAAAGCTGCTATTCGTTCGTAACCTGCCCACTGCCGGACCTGTAGGCTCGGCAGCTGGGTTGGCCGCCCCAGGCGCAGCAGGGTTGGCAGGACAGCTAGGCTTGGCACCGCCGCAGCCGGGGCCCGGGCCGCCTCCAGTGGTTTGGCCCATACCTGAAGCATTCTGGCCAGATTTTAAGACTCCTAGTCCTGCTACTGCTGCCACTTCTGGGGCAGCAGGAACAGGACAGGTACAGGGGGAGGCAGAGCGAGGGGAGAGAGGAGAGAGAGGGGCTATAGGAACTCTGTCTCTGGGTGCTACAGTTCTCTCCCCCAGCCCTCCTGTTCCTCCTCTCTTTCCTCCGCGCGACCCGCACCCGGTGATAACCTATCGGGCAGTGGATACAGACGCACGCGTGCCGCCCGGGATACCGGTAGACAAGTACGAGATCGAAGGGTGTCCCATTCTGGGCTTCCTCAGCAAGGCTGGGCCCAACGTGTGCTGGCAGGTGAGACTGGGGCAGGTGAGACTGGGGCAGGTGAGACTGGGGCAGGTGAGACTTGGGCAGGTGAGACTGGGGCAGGTGAGACTGGGGCAGGTGAGACTGGGGCAGGTGAGACTGGGGCAGGTGAGACTGGGGCAGGTGGAGCAGGGCAGGTGGAGTAGGGCAGGTGGGAGCAGGGCAGGTGAGTTTAGGGCAGGTTGGAAGGTGGGATGGGGGCAGGTGGGTGCTTCACAGGTGGTTTTTAGCCAGCCTCAGCCAGCGAGGCAGCCAATCTGCAAGGCAGCAAGCGAGCAAGCAGGACGTGAGTGCATGCGTTCCTGCATGTACACATAATGTCCACGTGTGTCTGCTGGCAGCTGCTTTATGGGAAGGGGCATGGGTCTGGTGCTAAGAAGAAGGGTTTTGTCATTGTCCTCAAGCTCCACAGCAAACAATGTGGGTGTGCATGCGTGCGTTCATGCGTATGCGCACGTGTGTGCATGTGGGCATGCTTGTGTTGCATGCATGCGTGTCGGCAGGTGTTTATGCGAGGGAGCAAGGGTCTTCGGAACGGCCTGGGTGATCCGTTTGGGTGAGTCTCTCATCCGTGGCGCCCCAGGTTCGTTGCTTCGCCAGAGCATGTAGTTAACGTCTCACACATGCCTGTGTGTGCTTCATGCCTGTGTGTGCTTCATACCTGTGTGTGCTTCTGTTCACCCTGATTCTTGCATGGGACGACGTGCTCACTCGCACGTCGCGGTCATGGCCACTTGACTCTGCATGTCTTGTGCACGTTGTGACCCCACACCCCCCATGGCTCCTCCACACCCGCACGCCCTCATGCCTCCATGCCATGTGCCCTTGCCTTCGTGCCCCCATGCCTCCTCCATGCCATGCACCCTTGCCTGCATGCCGGCAGATACCTCAGAGTGAACCGGCCAGGCAGCTCGCTCACACTGCACGTTCTTCCCTACAACTACCCTGTCAGTGCTCAAGCCCTTTCTTATTGCATGAAGGAACCCCCTGCTAATCCCCTGCTAGTCCCCTGCTAGTCCCCTGCTAACCCCCTGCTAATCCCCTGCTAGTCCCCTGCTACCCCCTGCTACCCCCTGCTAATCCCCTGGTAGTCCCCTGCTAGTCCCCTGCTACCCCCTGCTAATCCCCTGCTAGTCCCCTGCTACCCCCTGCTAATCCCCTGCTAGTCCCCTGCTACCCCCTGCTAATCCCCTGCTAGTCCCCTGCTACCCCCTGCTAATCCCCTGCTTATCCCCTGCTCTTGACAATTCGACGCTGTTTGCTCCATGCAAGCTTTGATCAAGCCCTCTCTGTGCACCTCCTGGTATCCCAATTTCCACCCACTGGCCAGAGCTGTGATTGAGCTCTCCTCTCCATTCATGTGTGTTGTCACTTCTGCCCTCCACCTCCACCCCATTCATCCAGGTGCTGTTCCCTCTCATAGAGCAGCTCCAAAGAATGCCGCCCCATACAAGGGCCTCCCCGCCGGCCGGCTGGCGGCACGACTTTGAGCGTTACTGCGCCAGCGTCCCTCCGTACTACGCCGCCCCACTCCGATCCGCGATGCGCAGGCTCGGCGTGTCAGCCGCAGGCGCGGCAGTGCCGGACCATATGGACGCGAGCCTGGCAGCAGGTCCGGTGGCATCGCAGCTTCGGCGGTGGCGGGTGAAGGCCAAAGGGGAGATTGAAGAGCAGTTGCAGGAGATTGCGAAGGTAGGCAGAGTGCAGTTTGTTTCCGTCTTCTTTCTTTTCTGCTTTTTTTTTTTTTTTTTTTTTTTTTGTGGGTACATCTGAATTTTTGTGAAGGCAGCTGACAGATTCATCCCTGCTTGCCTATTGTGACTTGACGAAGACTCTCTGTTATCATCACATGTGAAGTAAATTAACCTGATGACTTTCACGATATAAAAATGCCCTTTTCCTTCCTTGCTTCCATTTCGACCTCCTCTCGGCAACTTTGATCTGCCCGCCCACTTGCAGACGGCCAATCAGATGGCTCAGTCTGCTGCTGCCCGGCCCCCTCCCCTGCCCACGCTCTCCTTCAAGGTTCCCCTGGCTCTGCCCTCCATCGCCCCACTCAGTGCTGTTCAATTGCCCTCTGACAAACCAAATCAGCAGAAGCAACAGCACCAGCAGCAGCAGCAGCAGCAACAACAGCAGCAGCAGCAGCAGCAGCAGAGGGTGGTGCAGCTGCTACCACCCCCACCGCCTCCTCGCTCCTTCCCTGTCTTCCCCATCCCTCCTCCGCTTTCCGCCTCTCACTCCCATCCCTCCCTTGCCTCCACCAATCCACTCGCTCCATCTGTCCCTTTTTCCCTCCCTGGAGCTGTGGAGGCTGGGGAGGCTGGTGCTTACAGTAGTGGTGCTTATAGTTCTGGTGCTACTGGTGCTGCAGCTGGTGCTGCAGGTGCTGGTGGTGCTGGTGGTGCTGGTGGTGCTGGTGGTCCTGCAGGGGGATCAGGGGTGGGTTCAGGAGGTGGTGAGACGCCGTTGGCAGGGCAAGGGCGTGCAGCCACCATCTTCTCGAACCCGTGTGAAGTCTCTCGAGAGGACTCTTTGCGGTGAGTTTGGGTGGGGTGAGGGTGGGTGGTGAGTCTTGGATGGAAGAGAATGTTAGGGCGAAGGCAGGGCAAGGGCGACCAGCAACCATCTTCACGAACCCGTGTGAAGTCTCTCGAGAGGATTCTCTGCGGTGAGTAGGGTGGTGTTGGTGTGTTGTTGGCGGGTGGAGTGGAGGGAATGAGAAAGGGAGGGTGGAGGGTGGGGCAGGGCAAGTCCGACCAGCAAGCATCTTCACGAACCCGTGTGAAGTTTCTCGAGAGGACTCTCTGCGGTGAGTAGGGTGGTGTTGGTGTGTTGGTGGCGGGTGGAGTGGAAGGAATGAGAAAGGGAGGGCGGAGGGTGGGGCAGGGCAAGGGCGACCAGCAACTATCTTCACAAACCCGTGTGAAGTTTCTCGGGAGGGTTTGTTGCGGTGAATGTGGGTTCAGTTGGGTGTGGAGGGATGAATAGTATAGAGGGAGCGAGGGTGGGTGTGCATGGAGAAGTGGTATAGTTGGGGGGTGAGGGTGGGTAGAGGGAACCAGTGAGTGGAACCCTCTTCTTGATTTAGGATTGTCCCAGCTCCCTCCTCCCCCCTCCCTCCTCCCCCCTCTCACCATAGTCTTCCTCTCTTCTCTTCTTCTTCCCCTCTCTTCTCCTTCCCCATTCACTCCTAATACCTACCCTTCACTCCCCACCCATTCTCAATCCTTCCCCTCTTTCCTCCCCTCCCCTCGCCTCCCACCCTCCAGGCAAGTGCTTCAGCTGCCCCTTCGCCTTGCCGCCATCCTCAGCAGCAGCAGCCCTGCCTTCGAACCTGGAAAAACATTTTCTGCATATAGACCCGCGGCACCACAGGATGAAGGACTGGCAGGCGCAGCAGGAAGACCAGGGGCAACAAGGGCTGGGCAACGGGGGGTGAAGGGAGAGGCAGCAGCAGCGCCTCTGGACCCAATTCAAGAGGAGAGAGTGCTGCAGCGAGGGGTGGGGGTTGGGCCAAAGGGGGGAGCAGCATCTGCTGCTGCTGCTGTTGCTGCTGCTGCAGCAGATAAGGTGCCGGCGTCGTGGTTTGCTGGTGGATATGACGTTGACAGATGGCGCGCTCTGATTGGTGCGGTGGGGAAGTGGGCGCTTCTGGCAGAAGAGGAGGCAAAGCACACCGTCAGCATCGAAAAGGTGCTTCCGAGGTTTCAGAAAGCTTCTAAGCCCTTGAAGCGAAATTCTTTACTTCTTCTCAGTGCCAATTGTTCTTCTCTGTTTGCGAGTTTTGGAAATTCTAAAAATTCGATCACCTCTTCTCAGTGCCACTTGTTCCTCTCTGTCCGATCTTCTCCCACCCATTTGTCCCGGTTCAGTTATTCTCCCCCCTTCCCTCCACCCTCTTTTCAGCCCATCTGCCTGTTTCTTCCCTTGACACTCGGGGTGCTCTTAGTGGCTTTTCCATCTTTGCCTCACCCCAGCCTCAAACCCATTCTTTTGTATCTATACATATAAATTTTTAGTCCTTGAAATTTCTCCACCCTCTTTGCTCTCCTTGCCCTCCTTGATCGTGTGTGTGCATCAGATGGGTGACTTCAACGACGCTCTCCAGCGACAGCAACCACCCCGCAGCCCTTATGTACGCTCAACTATGCCCTTTTGCAAGCACAGTATCTCACAACCCCTATGTGTGCACGATGAGCCCATGCCGTATTAGCATATGCCATTTGTGTGGCTTGAAGTGAAGTTGAGCTTTTCATACTCCCGCTCTACAGGCTGATGTGTGTGCTGGCTGCTGTTGGACGGGGCCGATCGCTGCTAGCTACATGGGCAGTGCTAGCAAGTCATGTACCATGTAGCCCGAAACAACGCGCCATTCCTTTGATCCGTTTCAAGAATCGTTGTGAGCTCATCACAGGCAACTCGATTCACGACCTTATCCCATATCCCATCCATCTCCTTCTCCCTCCCTGCTTTTTTCTTCCCCATAACAGATCGACGATCAGGATCGCATCAAGGCTGCACGGACGGCCTTTGGCAACCCGTACCGGCAGGACAAGCCAGACATGCCCACAGCCAACGAGGCATTCCTGTGCCTGGACGACCAGACCCCAGGCGCACCTGGTGGAGGCCCACCCGCCATTGCAGGCTCATCTGGTGCAGGCTTATCTGGCGCTGCTGCCAGTGGTACTAGTGCTGGCAGCGGTGGTGGTGCTGCTGCTGCTGGTTCTAATAGTGCTGCTGGTGCCAGTGGTGCTGCTTCTCCCAGTGTGCTTGCCCTTGCTCGCTCTCAGAAGAGGCGGCGGCGGTCAGAATCACCAGCACCACCATCACCATCGCCCCCCATGTCACCTCACCCCTCTCCTCCCCCCTCACCCTCTCTTCCCTCTCACACTCCCCCGTCCACTCCTTCTCCCTGCCTGCCCCTGTCCTCCGCATCACCCCGTGCGGTGCCTGTCCAGGCCTCAGCATCAGCTCCGGCCGCACCTCAAGTGGACCGTGCCTCAAGGCCTGGTGGGGCTGCTGGTTCGGAAGCGTCAACGCCTCCTGCTGCTGCAAGCTCAGGTGCAGCTGTTGCGAGACCACCGGGCTCTGTTCCTGCTGCTGCTGCCGCTGGTGCTCGCCCTGGTCCAACTGCTGCTGCAGCAGGAGCAGCAGCAACAGATGGAAGATCTGCTGCAAAGCCAGGCAAAGCAGGGGCCGCGGAAGCAGCTAAAGGTTCAGTCCTGGAAGCAGCTAGTGCAGTCGCTGCCGCAGCAGGTTGCACTGATACAGCAGCACCAGACGCTGCGGCCCCTGTAGTTTCTGCCACTATTGCTGCGGTGGCTAAGCCACTGGATCACACTGTTGCTACTGGCTCTGCCATTTCCCCGGCCACGGTGGAAGAAGACAAACGACGCGAGCTCAGCCATCCACTGTTCATGCCAGAGAGCTGTTACCGGGCGGCGCAGGCGATGGAGAGGCGCCAGCAGGAGTCCATGCAATGGCCCAGAGAGGCGGCAGCAGGAGAGCAGAGAGGTTCAGATCAGGGAGAAGTGGTAGGAGGTGTTTCAGAGAGTAGACAAACAGGGGTCGCAGAGGAGATTGGAGACAGGGGTGTAGCAGGAGAGGGAAGAGCGCCAGGGGAGGAGGGTAGAGGCGCAATGGAGAGTACGGGAGGAATTGAGGGTAGGGGGAGAGGGGCGAAGCGGCGGAGGGTGATAGCGGAGGGGGAGGCACGGGATTGGACGGTGGATGTGGGGCTGGAGGAGCGGGTGGAGGAGCAGGAGGATGTTGTGGCGTTGGCAATGCGGAGGGGCAATCCTCGCTGGCGCACTGTGCGCACGCCAGCTGGCAACGAGAGGGATCAGGAGGAGGTGGTGGATTTTCTGCTGTCGATCTATCGGGTGCTGCGGTCCGCACGTCCCAACAACACAAAGCAGGTAAGAGGGATGCATTTAAAAGGAATGTTCTGTGTGGATGGAATGTCTAAATGTGTATGGCTACGGTGCTGGTATCGGGCAGTAGTTAGATAAAAGTTTTTTAACGAATCCCTGTTGAATCCCTGCAGCTCTTTGCTCTTCTCTCGGTGCCCGACTTCCCCGTGGACAAACGCCATTTTGTACAACAGCTTGTAGAAAAGGTAAGGAAATTTGTATGGTACTACAAACAATTGTGCATAGCTTTGAGTGATTTTGTTCTGTTTCATTTATATAATTGTTTATTTGATTTTTTTTGTTGATTTGTTTTCCGTTTACCTTTATTTTTTTCCTTTATGACCCGCAGGCTCGCAGATTTAACAAGCCATTCCTTGTGAGGGAATTGTCAGATTATCTAGCAGCACCCGCAACATGAAAACGTAAATCTGATAGACAAATGTTTTACGGTATTCCTGATCTACAGTTGCTGCTCTATGTTTTACAGTTGGGGCACTATATCCGCTTATCCTCCGATTTGTCTGAGCTCAGCGCAATCCGGCTGCTGCGGAGAGCAGCCTCTCACGTCTCGCTCTGTGCTGTGCTGTTCGCTTTTTGCATTTCTATTCGTCAACGCTTCAACCCTCGAATCGGAGTCTGCCAAATCATAACGCATTGCAAATGCGCCTCCGTTCAGCGGCTCGTCCATTTGGCGTTTGGCTTGGGATGGTTTGGGAGGGACCACCCCCATCATCACACTCCAAGGCTGACCAACCGCATCCCTGGTGTGGCCTTGAGATGATCGGACTCCGTGTGCTGGAAATTTGTGACTCCTGAAACCAAGCCATTGATGGAGCAAATGGATGATTCGCCGAGCCGCCAGCGGTGGGAACATCGTGAAACGCGTCCACCAATCAGCATCAAGCATTCAGCACTCCTAGATTCTGGATATTTCTAGTTGCTCCCTCACCCTCAAGCAACGCATTGCACCACTCGTTACCGCTTGTTACCGCATCATCCTGGGCTGCTGCTTGGGGTGTTCTGCTGCTCTTGCTGGTGCATGCTTGCTGCTGAACACCCCAAGCCCCCCACTGTCCAGAAAACCAACCAGCATTTCGGTTGAGGGTACAAATGGAGCAGCAATAACAGAAACGCTGACGCTCCTTCACACAAGGCGAAGCTATTTCCCTTCGAAGGCTGCAACCACGGTTTCTGAGCTTCGCAGTCTCAGCACCAGACGCTGTACGTTGCCACAGTCTTGTCGGTCCTGGCAAGAGTTTGACGCCCCTCTCCTCCAGCCGATTTGCACTGACGCGACAAGATGTCTTCCGCTGTAACAGCCATGTCGACAGTTATCAGACCCTCGTTCCTTGGATCGAGGATAGAGCTCCTTAAAGGACCCGATGCTGCTGGAGCTCGACTCACCATGCGAGTAGGACCGCGGGTTGCGTCGTCGGTCAGCGTCTGGAAGGGCGAAGCTGAACGCCTTGAAGCTGTGTCCAGATGGCGCAGTTCTCCAGGGGAACTGCAGTTCTCCTTCCTCGTCGGCGAATATCCGGAAGAGAGCAGATGGCGCTCGGCGGGACTATCTGTTGATCCTGAATCGTTCGCCAAGACTACAGCACTCGAGGTACCCATCACGTTTACGGCACCTCTCCCCGACCACCCTCCTGTTTCCTGTCTGTAGGTCAGCATGTTAGGCTCCCGTTCCTTCGTTTTCTACTTTTCTGTCTAAACCTGTGTACTTTGGTGATGCCGCTTGGATTCCTTCCAGGTGATTCACGCGCGTTGGGCTATGCTTGGCGTCGTCGCGTGCCTCGTTCCAGAGACTGCTTTCCGGATACTTCAAGCTTCACACCTCGCTGGCGGCAGCAACATCGACTCTCTGGGAAGCTCGATCCTTGATAGTACGACAAGTTTGGTCGAGTCTTGTGACTTTTGCACCGCGAAGACCATCCTCGCTATTGGCGCGATCCAGATCCTCGGCATGGCTGCCGTCGAGGCGTTTCGGGTTTCAGGGGGGCCTCTAGGCGACGCAAGCGGCTCTGTTTATCCAGGGGGGTTCTTCGACCCGCTGGGTCTGGCAGACAGCAGTAACGCAACTGAGCTGGCGAAGCTTAAGGCCAAGGAGCTTCAGAACGGACGGCTGGCTATGTTCTCTATCTTGGGATTTGCAGCACAGGCGGCCGTGACAGGGAAGGGACCAGTTGAAAATCTGATGGAGCATATGGCGGATCCCAAGGTGCACAACGCCTGGACGTACGCCGAGGGTTTGTTCCAGTGACCAAAGAGCTCATTTCGAGCCATGGGTCGCCATGATGAGTTACTTAACATCAAGTTCCTCTTTGTGTCTTTCCATGTACATTCCACCCTTTTCCTTGCTATAGCTTCGAACGGTATGGGGTATGGCATACCTCTCGTGGCCTTGCTGTGATTAGTCTTCTTTTTCCATGGAAACATTATCCCTAAATGTTTAGCGCTTTTTGTATTACTTCAAAATATTACAATGTAGCATAATTACGCAAGGAAAAGGAGTGGAAACGGGAAGAGAGGAGAAAAGGAGGAATAACGTGAGTAGAAAAAAGGAGAGAGGAAGAAAGAAGGAGGGGAATAGGGGAAAAATGATAGGAGGAAGAAAAACAGGGAAGAAGGAAGAAAAAGCAGCACACACAACCCCAAGAAAACCCCAATAGCACACACATTTAAAACACCATCAAGCCCTCCCATCAAAGCACCCCAACTGCACTCCCATCGAACCAAACCTCCCCCCCTAAACCCACTCCCTAAACCCGCATGTCTACCAAGTATGGTGCATCTGTCAAAATGAAGAATGGATGATGCATTGATGTTGGTTGGGGTACATATAGCTAACCCTAAGTTTTGTACCCCCTAAGACAAACCTCACTATAGGCTACAACATTTGACACACCCCCATAGCCTAAGTGAGGGGTGTCTAGCAGAACCAAACGAGTACGGTCACAAGACCAGTCCAAGAAACAAAGCTCAGGGTGGATCACAACGTCACCACACAGTCTGAGCACAAACAACAGTGGCCACAAGGCCAGTCCAAGAAGTAACAGAGATATATAGAAAGCAAAGTAAACAGTACACTCAAGTCTAAGCAACACGAGAACCAGTGTCAACAAGGCCTAACTGCACACAGCACCTCTGGTGGTCACAAGGCGGAAGCGCCTTGGTGAAGATGTCTGCAGTGTTGGCCTCTGACTCCACAAACTCAAAGCGAGCCTGTCCACGCCTCTGCAACTCTCGCAGAAGAAAGTACCTGACGTGAATGTGCTTCACTCTGCTCTCCAGTCGTGGCTCTCGACAAAGGAGAATCGACGTGAAAAGAACTAGGCAAGAATGATGCATTGAATGGAAGAATTGGGTACAAGTAGCAAACCCTAGTTGGGGTTGTACCCCATATTGGCTACCCCACTACAGCCTACAAACATAATACAGTTTAACACACCCCCATAGGCAAAGTGGGGGAGAACAAAGGGTCACAAGACCAGTCCAGCAAAGCAAAGCCCAGGGTGGATCACAACGTCACCACAATCCGAGCACAAGCAAAGGCCACAAGGCCAGTTCACATGCAGTGCTAGATATAGAACAGGACAAGCAGCAAGATATATATAAAGTACAGTACAAAGAAAGTCAAGCAGTAAGCAAATGAGGAAAAGTGGACACAAGGCCTAAAGAAGTACAGTGCCGCTGATGATCACTAGACGGGAGCGCCTTGGTGAAGATATCAGCAGTGTTGGCCTTCGAGTCCATGTACACAAGCCGAAGCTGACCGCGCTGCTGAAGCTCTCGAGCAAGAAAGTAGCGAAGAGCAATGTGCTTCGTCCTGTGCTCCAGTCTGTGCTCCTGACACAAGGCAAGGGCCGCCTTGTTGTCACCGTACAGAACTGGAGGAGAACTAGGCCGCTCTCCCAAGTCAGTCAGCAGGTAGGTGAGCCAGCGTAACTCCTGTGCAGCCATGACTGTGGCGTAGATCTCAGCCTCACAACTAGAGCCGAGAACAGAAGAAGAGCGGGTGGACCGCCACGAGACAGAACCAGAGCCAAGGCTGAAGGTGTAACCCTGTGACGACCGCTGCGTAGCCAGGTCATCCACCCAAGAAGCGTCCGAGTGACCAGTGAGGACAACTCTGTCGCGTCCTCCAAGCACCAGCCCCATGCCTGATGTACTGCACAAGTAACGCAGCACCCTCTTAGCAGCCTCCCAGTGCTCTCGCCTGTGTCTCCCAGGCGCAACGTAACGAGCAAGGATGCTAAGAGGGTACGCGAGGTCAGGTCGTGTGCAAGTCATCAGGTACATGAGGCAGCCTACAAGCTCTGGATACGGGCCACTCGGCTCTACGGACTCGTCCGAAGGTGGAGCTGAGAGCGAGTGGCTGGTAGCCAGAGGTGTGGCCTGTGGTGAGGAGAACTGGAAGCCGAAGCGCTGAAGGACCTGCTGCACCATGTGTGACTGAGTCAGGGTGATGGTGCGGCGAGCTCTGTCCCGGGTGATCTGCAAGCCAAGGTAGCTACGCAGTTCACCCAGGTCAGTGCAGGTGTGTCTCTTCTGCAGCTCCGACTTCACACGAGCGAGTGCCTCAGTGTCAGCAGTAGCAAAGACCAAGTCGTCGACGTACACGAGAATGTAGAACGGCGGTAGCGACGTGTCTGTGCGCAGAAACAGCGACGGGTCAGCAGTAGACGGCGCGAACCCAAGAGCTGCAAGTGTAGTCCTCAGTGTGTCGTGCCACTCACGTGGCGCCTGGCGGAGACCGTAGACTGGCCGGCGGAGGCTCCACTGGGTACCAGGAGGAAACGACCCAGTAAAGCCAGGTGGGCGGCGCAGCCAGATCTCCTCGTGCAGGCTGCCCTGCAGGAACGCTGTGCTGAAGTCAAGAGAGTGAAGCTCGTAGTCACGCTGAGCAGCAACGTGTAGCAGAACCCGAAGAGTGGTCATCTTCGGGGTGGGGGAGAAGGTCTGGAAGAAGTCAACCCCCTGACGCTGACTGAAGCCTCTAGCAACGTAACGAGCCTTGAAGACAGGTGGAGAACCTGGCGGCCGCTTCACCCTGAAAATCCACATGCCATTGACGATGTTCGCCCCAGGAGGGGGAACCTCGTCGACGTAGGTGCCTGTGGACTTCCAGGATGCCATCTCTGCGTCCATGGCTGTCTGCCACTGAGAGGAGTAGGGACCCGAGATCGCCTCTGCGTAAGAGCGCGGAGTGGGGATGTCTAGTGCATCCGGGTCTCCCTCAGGGGCAAGCAACCAGGCCACGAGATGAGGTACAGCAGCCGCAAGAGAGTCAAAGTCCTCCTGCCTGTCCTCAAGGACGTCCGTGCCAAGAGCACACTCACCCCCGACGGACGGAGGACAGACAGACTCAGACCCGGCAACAAGACTGGCGGCGTAGTCTAGACGACAGGCAGCAGCAAAGTCGACAAGCTCAGCGACCAGGGCAGACGCAGCAGCAGACTCAAATGACGGGTCAGTGACAACAGTGGCGAGAAGACGCGTAACAGTAGGGTGGGCAGCACGAACACTGTCAGACTCAGGGTCGGGAACGTCAGGAAGAGAAGACGCAGGAGGAGACGGTAGGGGGACACGCTGTGGACCAGTGGAAGGACGAAGGGCCATAATATGCGTGCCAGGAACAGGAGGAGGACGCGGACGCGCGACACGACGACCAGTGGGACCAGTGCGCGCAGTGCGAGCAGCGCGAGCAGCGCGAACAGGCGAGGCAGGACGAGACGCAGGCTCACGACGCTCCGTAAGCGAGTCCGGCTGTGCAGTATAAGGCACAGGAGCAGGGAGGGGGGAGCCAGGCTGAAGGGGAAGGCCAGTGGAAGACGGGAGGGAAAGAACCTGGCGAAGAACCGTGTCAGGCGGCGGCAAAGCCGACGGCGACGGAGGAGCGAAGAACAGGCGCGACGGCGGAGCTCCGCCAGCACCTCCAGCACCCGGAGCACCAGAAGCACCTGGACCAGCACCCTCCGCCACAGCACCCCCCGAGTCGGCGACGTCAGCACCAGAGGCCCCAGCAGCGACAGACCTCCCCTCGCCAGCACCTCCAGAACCAGCAGGACCACCGTGTCCAGAACCGTCAGCTCCAGCGTCGTCAGCTCCAGCAGCTCCAGTACCGCCAGGAAGAGCACCCCCAGACGCAGCAACCCCAGGCTCCGTAGGCTCAGCAGCAGCACCCCCAGGCCCAGTACCCTCAGGCGCAGTACCCCCAGGCTCAGCACCCCCAGACTCCGTACACGCAGGCTCAGCACCCCCAGTCGTAGCACCCCCAGGCTCAGCACCCCCAGGCGCCGAACTCCCAGGCACAGTACCCTCAGCTCCAGTACCCACAGTCCCAGCACTCCTAGGCCCAGCACCCGCAGGCTCAGCACCCCCAGGCTCAGCACTCCCAGCAGCACCACCTGCAGCAGCACCTGAGTCACCTGTGACCTCGACAGGCTCAGCGACGGGAGGAGGATCTACCTGAGAGACACCTGAAGGAGCAGGACCCTGAGGGGGAAGGGGGTCTACCGGAGGGGGACCAGGAGCAAGGAAAAGCGGCGGGGGAGGGAGGGGGGCAGTGCGGTAGGGGAAGAGACGGTAAAAAGGGACCGACTCGTCAAAGGTGACGTCCTGAGAGGCGAAGACCCGGCGCGAGGTGGGGTGGTAAAACTGCCAGCCCGGCGCGTCAGGAACAAAGCCAAGGAAGACACAGGGAAGTGTGCGGGAGGAGAGCTTGTCCGCGGACGTATTGCGGACAAGGGCACGAGCACCCCACACCCGGAAGCGCGACGCATCGCCAACCTCCCCCGTCCAACGCAGTGTGGGCGAGGTCTCCGGCAAGGAGACACGGGGCCAGAGGTTGAGCTGATGCGCGGCGTACCGGACAGCAAACGGCCACAGAAAATGGGGAGCCGCCGCGTGGACCAAGGAGGTACGAGCGACCTCCATGACCAGGCCAATGCGGCGCTCAGCAACCCCATTCTGCTGTGGGGAGTCCGGAAGCGTGAAGGTCTGCTCGATGCCCTCCGCCTGACAGAAGGTCCTCAAGAGATCGGAGGAAAACTCACCACCTCTGTCAGAGTGCAGACGCAGGACAGGAAGATCCGTCCGGAAACGGCGGCGGAGCTGGAGACGAACTGTGCGGATCCAAGGGATTAGAACAGCAGGGACCTCACCCTTGGTGCGCAAGGGAAAGACCGTGGTGTAACGCGAGTAGTCGTCGACAACCAGCAAAAAGTACCGCTCACCGCCCTGGCCACGAACGCGGGCAGG